TATGATTAATATACCATACAAACTTTATATATTTATTACTCCCTCCGTTTGGAAAAAGACTTCTCACTTTGACTATAAGGCAAAATAAGGAAGTGTAAAATTATAGTTGACTTCCAATTTTGCCCCTGATGTGATGGGTAAATGTAAGATGTGATGAATTTTTTATTAGAGAAAAAGTATGATGTGATAGGTAGGGTATGAAAAAGTAAGGGTAAAGTGGTTTTTTAATAGAAAAGGGAAGTGTTTTGTTGGAAGTGAAAAAAAATGAAAGAGGAAGTGTTTTTGAGAACGGAGGGAGTATAAGTTAACGTTTTGTCTTGTTTAACTGCAAAAGTCAAAACTGAAAAATACTTTAAAACGAATGAAGTATGTAGTTATGCTGATTGACACACCCACTAAAATACTATACTAAATATACCACACGTACGTTAGAGATGCGCAAAAAAATTAATGTGAAACTATTTTGTGAAACGGAGGGAGTACTAAATTTATTATCAGCCTAACCTTTTACTCGCAATGATGATATTACCCAATACAGGCAAGATTTGTTTCGGATAGAGCTGAGGATTAGGAATATAATGGAGGAGTTGAAGTGATATGGATCGAGGTTGGGCGTGCAGTGCATGCATGAACAAACAAAGATTAATAAGTATATATAGTTATTCAGCTGAACATATATCCATCAGTTTATATATATACCCTATATCATAAGGTCGAAATGGGAAATCAAAATTTTGACTTTGCAAGCTGTATACGGTATGGCGTCTGTCCAGTTTTTCAAACTGAATAAAAACAAATACACCCCCCTGGTGTCTGTGGATGGAGAAGAAACGAAAATTAAAGGAGAGTGCATAAAGAAATATTTGTTTTTTAGAATATTTCGACGGTTTGGTATGTTCAATTAATATTATGTGGAATTTTCTGAAAAGTATTATGAGGCGCGCGAGAGTCATCAACACTTCCTTTTTTTGTGCACCAAAATCAATACTTAAAAATCACTAAAAAAAATCAATACTGTTGTGGGAGATGTATATTCTTTATTGATAATAGCTCCCTTATATAGGGAAAAACGGCCTAGGGTTTTACAAGAGAAGACCCACGGGCCAGTACAACTGTATTACACAATATAAAGTAAATTCTATCTACACAACAGCACACTAATTTACAAATTCCTTCAACACTCCCCCTTGTGCTAAGCTGTAGGTAGAATTGCAGAATCTTGATCTCTTGTCAAAATCTCGTCAAGTATCAAAACCCTGTGAATAAAAATCTTGAACGAAGAAAAGAATACCGATCCTTACTTCGATCGCTATGTTCATGCATATTGTTACCTCATTAAAAACCTTACCAAGTAACAAAACCCAATGGGAAAAATAAACCTTGGTTTAAGGAAAAGAGTGTAACATAAAATAAAAGCTAGACCTTTGAATATTCAAATCTCCCCCTGAAGTGTACATGATCAAGGAAGATCCGAAAGTCTACGCATCCCAATATTTTTAACATGTTTCTCAAATGTGGCTTTAGGTAATGATTTGGTGAATAAATCTGCCACATTCTCCTCAGATCTTATTTGATTTACTTGGATCTTGAGGAGAGTTTGTTTTTGTTGATTATAGAAAAATTTGGGAGAAATATGTTTGGTGTTATCACCTTTGATAAATCCAAGTTTCATTTGCTCGATGCAAGCGGCATTATCCTCATAAATGCATGTGGGTTCTTCAGTGGTTGGTCTCAAACCACTAGCCCCGCGAATGTGTGTAATGATAGTTCTTA